TCCCTTCCGACCCTAGAAACTATGAAACTATGAAAAGTGTGCCGCTGACATTTTCTCAGAGCTGACACTCATTTCACCATTTTATACACATGTATGCGCAACAGGGCCAGGCACTTCTAAAAGCGTCTGGTGCTGTGGCAAGAGCATGTAAACAAATGCCCTCCATTGTGAGGTACTAAGATAATGTGTGTTAGCCTACCTTAATGCGCATTTAACTAAACAGCAGTTTTTAGTGATGCTTTAATGCGCATTGAATTGGAATTAAAATGTGTTGAAGTGCATATGTAGACCCACCCAAGTCATTCCCTCCCCCCCATCCTCTCCATTGGTCTGGGGGATTTTTTCTGTGGCTTTCCTAATGTAGACTCTGGCTGGGATTTTCAGAAACTCCACTGAGAGTTTTTACTCGTGCCTTGATTGGGATCTCAGTTAAACCAGCAGTACTTTTTGAAACTTCACCCTGCTTCCGCAACTAAATGCATAGGCACACCTGATTTCTGTCACACTTTTAGGACTTTGTGTGCAGGTTAGAAAGCTGCAGGTGCTACCAGCCATATTGGCTTTAGCGTATCTGAGGCTCTGCAGAAACCTTGCTTAGGATGTTTCCTGGCCATGTCATGCTCTAGTTCTCACATTTAACAGCAGATTACAGCGGTACTTGTCTTTTTGTAACAGGACTTAGCCTCCAACTTTGAGCTGTTTTAATACAAACACAATAGCCTGACAAATTCTTACTGTAAATTTACAGGCTAAAAGCGAGAAGATGATCAAAATGATGTCCTTTTTCCATAGCAGTCCTCTTGGGCCAAGGAAGACATCTAAGGGGTACGCTACCGAAGACGAGCCAACTGGGGAACCTTGTACGTCATTGGAATCGGAGCCAGATTCAGTGTCTATTGAACCAGCTGGAGAGGAGACTTGCTCGACAGATCCAATGAAAGTGAAGAGCGACAGACGACACTCTGCTCCCCAGCACTCACCTGCGCCTCTTAGAGAAGCCAACGGGAGCTGTGCTGGCTCACCTGAGCAGAGAGAGAGTCCCCAGAAAAAAGGAGTGAAAGGGAAACTCAAAGGGTTTTTCAATATTTCAGGTGGCATAAAGAGAACTGATCCAAAAGAAAAGGACACGAAAAAGAAAGAAGACACAAAAAAGAAAGAGGACAAGCCTCTCACAGGTACATCTGCCTCCTCTGTCTACCTCCTTGCTTCCCTAGCCTTTGGCTTTATAGTAACTCGGCACCACACAATCGTTAGTGGATTTGGTCCCTACAAGTCCCCTGTGGGTAGGGAAGTCCTCACCCCATCAGAAAAACTGGCATGGTTGGAGGAAGTGACTTCCCAAGGGGCGGGATGGGCTCTGCAGCTGTGGCAGAGATGGAACCAAGTTTCCTGACTTCATCCCATGCCACAGGGTACATCTGCTTGTGGTAAGAGAGAGCTCAGCTTAGTCACTGAGACAGTAAGCCCTATCCAACCTACTCCAACCCTTGAAATGAGGCAGTGAAGAGGCCCCAGTGAACACAATTCAGGAATGATTTGGAGAAGCTTGAGAGAGTCCAGGAGACACGCCTGCATGATCAGAGGGCAGGAGAACAGGGCTTATGAGGAGGGGCTGAGAGCTATGGGACTTTTCAACCTGGAGAAGTGAAGGCTCAGGGGGGACTTGGCGTGCATCAGGATCTGGGGGAATGCCTGTTCACCAGAGCATACCAGGGGATGACAAGGTCCATCGGTCACAATCCTGCAAGACTGTTTTAGGCTGGACATAAGGAAAAACTTCTTTATTGTCTGAGCCCCCACGGCCTGGAACAGACTCCCCCCAGAGGTGGTTCAAGCACCTACTCTGGACACTTTTAAGAAACATTTAAATGCTTACCTTGCTGGGATCCTCTGACCCTAGCTGACTTCCTGCCCCTGGGGCAGGGGCCTGGACCTGATGATCTGCCAACGTCCCTTCCAGCCCTAATGTCTATGAACCCAGGCTGTGACGTGAGGGAACAGGTGGGCAGAGCAGGACTTACTGCCTTGGCTTCAAGACTTGAAGTTTCTGGCACCACAGTGTGGAAATACCTATAGCTTCTAGGCCAGTGGGTCTCCACCTTTCAGATCCTGTGGCTCACCAATTCCCTGCACAACCCAGAGCCTGCTTCTTCCCTTCCAGCTCCACTGCCTCCTGCTGTTCCTCAGCCTACCTCTAACCCATCTTTCCCCACCCCCTTCCTAGCCTGAAAGCATGTGGTCTGCTTGTCAGGCCGGCTGCAGAGATACCCACTAGCTCCAGAATGGAAACGGCATAGCCATATTTCCCCAGCGCTGCATGCAAGCCAGTTAGCTCCCCCTTCCAGCAAAGGTCCTGCTGAGGAGGTCACGTTGCAGAGCCTCTTGCTTGCCGTGCTGGACCTAGCACATGCAGTGGAGTCTGGCAGCAGGAACATTCAGAGGAGGTGTCCTCCGACTCCCTGCCACAGGCACTCTTGCAGCTCACTCGCAGCATCTCCACAGCCCACAGGTAAGGGCAACTGCGTTGGCCTATCCTTCCGCTTGCTGACCTGTTACAGTTCTGTACAGTTTGTTTGCAGTTGTCCAAAGTAAAGTAATTTGTACAAGATTGGGGCCAGTAGGTTTGACAATGTGGGAGTGTTAAGCATAAGAGTATCTGGAGGTGCCACAAGCAATAGCCAGTGTCCATTCTGCCCCAAGATGGGGTGGACACCTACTTCCAGTTATTCCTTGAAGCAGTAAAGTCCCCAAAGCCCTGTTTCTGTAAGGGGGGATGTAGGAATGGACTGATGTCTGCTGGGAGCAGTATCCTACCACAGCAGCCCCTCTAGCACACAGTGGGAGATCTGCTGAAGGAACAGATACTAGGGAAATGCCTCCTTCTGTGAACCACAGGGCTAAAAGGGATCTCCTGGGTCAGTCAAGTCCTCTGCTCTCATGAACAACTACATCCTATAATCCACAAACTGCACTTTAAACCTTGCTGGCTTTTTTTTTTTTTTGCCCACACTGTTACTGGAAAGCTGTACCACAATTGCTGTGCTCTGAAGGTTAGAAACCTTCTAAGTTTCCAGCCTAAACTTACTTGTTTTTCAGCCTAAACCCTAAATTTCCCTCTTAAATCCTAGCTCATAGCCTGCCTCGACGAAGGGGTCAGGCTAGATAATCTCTTGAGATTCCTTCCAGCCTTGTTTTTCTTTGACTTCTTGTGCCAGGATTGTTCTTTAGCTTTAGTAGAAATGTTGCCTCCCTGGTGTTTATGCTCCTGATGCATTTGTCAACAGCCTTTGTTCTGCCAAGTTAAATAAGACAAGCTGCCTTGGTCTCCTTATAATAGACTCTCTGTGGCCCTTTTCCTCCTGAGTCAACTTTCTGTGGACATGTTCCAGTTTGAGTTCATGTTGCTCAAACAAATGACCAGAAATCTGTGCAAGATCCTAGAAGCCGTTTTACAGGCACCTTGTACACGGATGTTGATTCTTCACTGTCTCTACTGGAAATATCTTGTCTCATATATCCTCAGATTACATTAATGTTTTTCATGACCTCACCAAATTGCTGGCTCGCAATTATCCCATATTTGATTGCTATTTCTCCTCTGGCCTCATTTCCTACTGAAAAGCCATCACTTGTAGCAAAAATTCTTATAATTGGTCCCTGAGTGCACTTTATTTAATTAAATTTGTACCCGGTACACTTTACTATTAAATTATATTACATTTCTATTACCCAATACCATCCAAGTCTTCCTATATAATAAACCATTCTAACTCTATTTAATTATACATCCAGACTTTGCACCATCAGACTTCATTGGGAGGCACCTACTTTTTGTGCCAATATGAAAATGAACTCTAATATGAAAATATGAACTAAGACCAGTCTTTGAGGATCTGGCGCAGATCGCATTAATAACCCCCACCCCCTTCAGACTGACAGGTTGCAATAAAATGGAAACTGTCTTCATCTGCCTTTCAGTCTTTCCCTTACTTCAGTTTTTTTATTTTATTTTTTTTTAACTGACTTCCATCTTAATTATCCTTTCCCAAGTGGCTCTGCTTCATATGCTTTACTGAAGGCCAAACAGATTAGATATGTGTTTGGTAAATCAGTTAGCTAAATCTTGCATGCAGCTGTGGTTGGACTAAGGGGCCTATAGGTGATCACATCACTTCCTCCCTATTAGTGCCTGCACGCTTTTAGTGAGTCACATGCACCATCCCTGCTTTGATAGATTCATTAATAATCTTTGCCTCCAGTTTTCAAATTGTGTGGGCATCAGTTCTTTCACAATTCTGGGATAAAAAAGCTTCTGCTTGTTCCCTGCCCCCAGCACTTGAAGCACATTAAGCTCTTTCCCTGTCTGTGGCAATTTCTCTGTGCTCATTCCCGGTAGTCCCCGTCCTGTTCCAACAGGGTTTCATGTAACTGTGTATGGAGGAGGAGGGTGAAGTATTCATTTAAGTCTTGAACCCACACCCAGATTATCTTTAATTGCTACCCCATCCTCACTGCATTGTGGGTCTTTTTCCTTCCCTGTTCTCCTATTTATTTATATAGCTAAATAACATCTTGCTATTTGTTTTACTTAATTTTGCCCAGCCAGAATTTTGGCAAGTCCCATTTTATTCTGACTTTTGTCCATCTTCCACGATGGTGCTTGCCAGATGAGCTACAAGTATTAATATTGTGGCCCAACTCTCAGAAATGCTGTAGCATAAGGAAAAAAAAAATCAGTTTTCCCTGAGGTATCATTGCTATCTTGGCTCAGAACCAAAATACCCTGATTTTGTGGATTAGTATTAACCCATCATTTCTGTAAATACATGACTGCTCCCTGGGATATCATTGCCTCTGCTGAGAGGAATGGCAGAAACATTAATAGGTTTTGAAAGTCAGTAGGATGATATTTCATACCGCAAAGGAGCCTAACTGGCTTGAAGCACTATAAAACTGAATACTGGGCACATGTACATGAAACATTTACTGTGGAGTTGCCTAATTAGCTCCCCAGTAAAGTCACCTCAGTAAACTGATTAACTCTGCCATTAAAACACAAGTACTGTCCTATGGCAGTGTCTTTTAGCGCACTGCAATGCATGTGTAGATGCTGACAGGGCTGGTTGGGGTATGAGGGTGCTTCAGTATGGGGGCTCCCTGCTGGCTAGCCCCACACTATAGCACCAGTGTGCCCCAGCCAGCCCCTCCACGGTACACTGAGCTGGGCTGGAGGAGCCCTGGGCTGGCAGGCTGGCCCCCAGAGCTCCCTGCCAGCTGGGGCTGCTGCAACCCAGTTCAATGTGCTGTGTAAACACTGCACCCAGGAGCAGCAAGCTCCAGTACGAACTGCACCAGAGTTTATTCATTCGCATTAATAGCACATGTAGATGCACCTACTGAGTAGTATGACTGGAATCACATTTGTATAAAAAATGGAAGCCTAAGTCAAAGCTGCTGGATACAAAAGTTGTTCTTATTTCTACAGCTGAACAAATCGTGGAGCTCATTGAGGATGACAGACTCTTTGATGCTGCTCAGCATCTGATTGTCCTGGAAAGGGGCCTCAATACAGATTGCAGTGGCAAGAGTGAAGAGGAACTGGCCAGAGACGGGGATGAAGTGGAGTCAGCCTATGAACTTCTGAAACAGAAAGTCTTCAGCATCATAAGAGATTCCATCACCATAGCCAAAGAGAGGCCAGAACTACTACAGCATGCAGTGAAGGCACTAATAGAACAGGAGAACGAGGATGAGAAATATGAGTCAGAGAAGCCATCTGACAAAACCTTGAGTTCCAGGCCCAGGAAATGGAAAGAGCTTTGGATGGACACAGTGAAGAAGTCTACAGATGAGCGTATGAAAGAGACCAAGGTCACTACTGAGAACCTCTCCACCACAGCTCTTAACTTCCTGCACATGGGAAAGACAATGAAAAAGGATTTGACAATAGTGGTGCAACACATTAAACAGCTTTATCCTCCGCAATTTAACGTGTGCAGTGCATATGCAGAGTGCTATCACAATTACTTCGCTTCCCAGGTAGAGATGATTGCAGAGTTTGAGCTGGAAGACAAAGATGTTTATCTCATCCTCAGCTGGGTGCAGAATCTTTATCCCAAGTAAGTGACAGTTTTGCACATGTATTACTAGTGTTGGCCGAACTTCAGCCACACATTCCTGGGCAATACTTGCATGGTGTCTGTTACCCCTCGCTTCAGTTGTCAGCTTTGAAGGCCTGGCAGAAGCTATCCTAACTCTGGGAGAATCCAGCAAAGAGGAATTCTGTATGGCCACTTTATTATATGTGAGAGCAAGACCCATTTTAAATGAGATGCATGCAATAGGGGATATTTAGGACAAAAATCTTCCCTTTGCTCTAAGCAGGTGCATGGGGAAGCAGTGCTTTTAGGAAGTCATCCTGATGGTGGGTCTGCAGGCAAAACAAAGATGTGGGATTAAAGATGGCATCAGAGAAAGAGGATTAAGAGTTCCTGCACTTTGTGGTTGTACACAGCAGCAATTTGTCTGTCTGCTTTTAACCTCCCATAACAAACTAATAATTTGGGTTCGGTTCCAAGGGGCCTAGTGGAAGGACAAGTGCTTGTGACCATCATGACTGGCATGATATCGCTAATGAAAGAACAGTGGTGACTACTG